CATTGGAATAAGGGGACCCTTTCTCTTCCCACTTGCAGCCTCAAGCCAAGATGTACAATTTGGAGGGCAAAGCATAGGTTAGATTTCAACCTCTGCTTCGGTCAGGCAACTTGCCCAACTATCGGCAGTGACCCCGAGCCCAGCCAGCTGATCTCAGCTCCGTGGTGGTGCAAGTGGAGAAAGATTGTCATTGGGTTTCCATTTGGCCTGGGGCCAGGGGCAGCTGGCAGGGGTCCAGGGAAAATAAGCCCTTCCTCAGTAAACTGAGCCCTAGTGCCGTGGGAATATAGGATTCCCTACCCAGACCCGAACTCCTCTGCATCTAAGTGCACTTTTCATCAGCAAAGGGAGTAAATATGCACACTTTCTAATTAAGCACAGGGCAGGCCCTAGGCCTTCCAGGAACAACTGGCCATAAAGCCGCTGGGCTCACTGGCCACAGCCCAGATGTTTTCATGGACAGCTCTCCACGAGAGCACAGCTGGGCTTTGCCCTTGGCGCTCAGCAAGACAGATTGGAGCAGAATTGAGTAGCAAAGACAGATTTGCTTCCAGGCCGTTTTCTTCTTGAAAGGAGCAAGGTTAACAGAGGATGGAAGTACACACAGGGGAAAGCACTTTTGGAAGAAGCCTCAGCCTTTGCTGAGCCTGATGATCTGAGCAGACGGAAGGCGAGATGACCTCAGAGGGCGGGCTGGTCCAACAGAGGTGGTTTGGTCGGGGATTGGCCATCTCCTTGGCTGTCCCCTCAATGGAGTTTCTCCTTCCTAGAGGGTGAGATGGCAGGAGAACTTGAGGCTCGGGCTTCTCCTGGGGCTTGAGTTGGCCCAGGGGAAGCATGGAGTCATTGCTGGTCTATAGCCAGGCTGCCTACACACCTGCCATCTGCCTGCGATGTGGGAAACAGAATCCACGGGCTTTTAAAATCCAGAAGGAAGGGAAACTCCACCCAGGAAACATAACCTCAAGTAGAGTGTTTGGAAGCAGGATGTTTAATAGCCAAACGTTCCTTGAGACCCAGCTGCCGAGTAATGTTATCTGGAGGCCCCTGTGGCCTGAGGAGAGTTTATCTCGACCCCTGACTCAGGCTCAGTAAACAGAGCTGCCTTCCTCAGATGACCTCTGCCCTGGCCCCCTTCCCCACCTGCTTCTTCTCTGCGGTTTATCGTTTCCAGGACCAGCTCTGGGTTGCCGGAGAAACTGTGTTGTCGGGGCAGGGGAGACAAGGAGTGTGAGACTGGCTGGAGTTTTGTGTCTCCATTCCTCATCTGCTGGCGTAATCCAGGATGTCTGAGGTTTGGAAGAGAGCAGGGAAGCACAGATGAGAGAGAGAGAGGAGCCTGGAGACTGTCAGCATATCTCTAAGCTTATCTCCAGGGAGGCTCCTGACAATACCTTCCCTCCTCCCAGGCGCTAGACTGTTTGTTCAGGAGGGTTGGCTGTGGGGGGCCTCTGGAAAATCCTAGAAGTTTGGGAAAACCTGGAAATAGGGATTCATTCCCTACACCTCATTCTTAAGTCATATTCATACACACAGGAGACGTAGGAAGTGATATTCATACTCACTGTACCAATAGGAACAACCCTTTGCCCACTTAGGAAAGACACACTTCTGTTTGGGGAGACTTGGCTGCATCTTAGCTGCATGATGGAGCAGTGGCCACGGCCACAAGGGCCACACAGACAACTCTCGGCACCCTTTCACTTTGCGTTCAAGGTGCTCCTCCAGGAGTCGGGCCAAGATCTGGCTGTTTCTCCTGATGGCATGTCTTTGGGCCCCATCAAAGAGGCAAGAGAACTACCTTTGACTTTCAACTTCATGCAGAGTAAAGGTCGGGAGGACTTGACTAAGGAGGAAGAGATGCCCGCTCTGGTGGTCTGTGGGTGATGTCCTAGGCAGGGAATGGAGAGGTGCGGGTTTGTGCCTCAACTCTACCACTAATGGGGCAAACCCACCTGCCAGTCAGGCCAGGCTGCTCTCAAGCTTGTCCCCACGGTACAGAGGAGGAGCCTGAGGGTCTGAGAGGCTTGGCTGGGTCTCCTAGCCAACAAGGAAGGTCCTGGGAACGTGTGACCTGAGTATGACCGACTCCAAAGTTCATGTTCCTCCTCACCTGGCTGTCACACTTGCTTGGCAAGTCACCAGCCTGGGCCCTGGGTGACTTTTCAAAACAAGAAGCCGTATTCCATCCTCCCCACTGCAAGGGGCTATGACTGAGATTAATTCTCCCTGGGAGGTGAAGGGAAGCCCGTAATTACTGGAGAGGACGGAGGATGAATCCTGTTAAGCCTTAGCTAAGCCTTTCCTCTGGGCTCCGCTTGGTTGGCTGGGGTGAAAGGCTACTGGCTAATGGCCTGCAAGTGGGTGGCAGGCTCTCTCCTGGAGCCTGCTTGGACCTTATTATGGGCAGAGAGCAGGGAGGCAGCACCTTTAGTGTCCACACATCTGTGGGGGCAGGTGGGAAGGGGAGATGCAGGTAGGGTGGAGGGTTGTCCCCCAGCAGGATTTAGGTACCCAGGAGCTGGGAGTCAGCAGTGGAGCAGGGAGGTAAGCCCCCCATGAAATCCCAGACTGTCCCCAACCACAGTTGTGAATGCGGTTTGCATGAAGGGTCCCACCACGCTGGTCTGGTTTTGTAGCATTCCTAACTGTTGACTTCTGTCTGGGCCCCCAAGTCTAGTCTCCTCTTGATCTCAGGCTCCCTCATGTTGCGCCAGGAACACTCTGAGCAAGAGATCTGCAGACTTTTCAGACAATCAGATAAAGCTTTATTTAAAAAGGTAGCACTCAGTCGTGATGTAGTAGTTTCATTAAATAGCCACACTCCGTCTTGGGTGGTTAGGAGCGTGGACTCAGGTAGACTTGGTCCTTTGCTCTGTGTTTACAAGCTGCGTGACCTTGGGCAAGTTAGTGTCTCTGAGCCTTGGAGAACGTTGCATCCAGGATTAAATGAGCTAATGCATATATGTGCTTGTCCTTGTGCTGGCGTGTTCTTGTTGCTGCTGGGTGCCGTTGAGTTGAGTCACATTGAGTAGACTCATAGCAACCCGATGAGTAATGGATCTAAACTCTGTCCTCTCTATCCTGTGCTGGTGTGTAGTGACCATGAATGCAATGCTTTCTACAGGCCGTTATATGACTTTGTGCAGGATCGGGTGGCAGTTCATTTTGTTGTCTGTACAGTTGCTATATAGGTCACAGCAACTCAGTGACATCTAACAACAGCATGCTTATATGTGGTATAAAGCAAAGCATAGCCTCTCTACTGTAATAATCCACAGTTCACTTTGAGCTAGTGCAGGTGACGGTGGTCTTTTACCTTGTGTTCTTCCTTGTCAGGGCCACATAAGACAGGACCCAAGTGCCCCATGGGGCAGCACTCAGTTCTATTTGGTTGGCTTTATAGGGTTGGATCTCAGAACAAACACTCTCCACGTGACCAAGAGATATAAGGGAAAGGAGGACTGGGGTCCGTCAACCCCTAGACACATTAGCCTGTGTGCAAACCCCCCATAAATGTCAAGACGTGTCTTGACTAAGCTCTCTTCCCCATGGTAGCCAGGACCCCTGGGTTCGCTGGCCATTCTGTTCTCTTGCTTGGAGTCCTCTTGAACTTACTGGATTGGGATCATAGACAGAGGAACCTGAGTTTTTACAAAGCTCCCCTGGTGGCAGTGCAGGGTTCCGGTGGGAATCTGCTATTAAGGCTCGACAGTCTTCTCTCCCTCACCTTTCTCTCTTGTAACCACCTGCCTGGAGACTTCCCAGCAGGCATCAGAGGCTGTGTGAGAGGACCCCATCCTCTAACCTAGTCTTCTCCTAACAGGGTGGCCTTTGGTGTGCATTTAGGTCAAAGAGATGGGATTTGTGGGAACAGGAGGCCAGGTTGTGTGGACAAGGAGCTTTCTCTTTTCCTCAGAATGGTCTCAACCACCTCATGGGCCAGATGAGCAACCTGAGGTGGACACAATGGGAAGAGCTTCGGGAGCGTCGAGAACTAGGCCCTGAAATGCTTTCATTGTGAGGGGCCTAAAGCGAAATGTGTGCAAATCAGCCAATTGCTAAAACCTCGCTGGGAGATCTACCTCTTCTCAGTTCTCGAGATAATAAATTATTTTCTGAGTACTCACTTAGTACCGGCTGAGACCAAATGGATGCTGAGCTGAATCACATGACTCTGAGAGGCTCACATGGTGTCCTGTGTCATGTGATTTTCATGGTGAACAACTGTGCCGAGAAACCCAGAACAGTTTGTTAAAGGAGTTCCTGGGTAGTGCTGCTAACAGAAAGGTTGGAGGTTCAAGCCCATCCAAGATACCTTGGTAATTTTCGATAATCCATTAGAAGAAATACCTGATGATTCACTTCCAGACAATCACAGTCATTCAAAACCCAGTGAGGCACAGTTCTCTAACTCATACCTGCTCGCCACGAGTCAGAGCTGACTCGATAACTTGTTCTGTTTTCCTTTTGATTTGTTAAAATAGAGATGACCAGGTCCCCTAAACCCAAGTCTACAGTTGGCCGGGCCTATGCATGCTTGGAAAGGGCCCTGGTGGAATCTTATTTACTCCAACGTTTGAGAGCCACTGGCCTAGTGAAAGGTAGCTACTAAAAATATCTTTAATTTACCCAGTAATATATGTTCACTTGTAAACAAAAAGAAGTTAGAGCTATCTATAATCCTTTCCTCATAAAATAATCCACTCATGGCATTTTATTCAGTGCCACTCCAGGTAAATATGGAAATGTGGATAGATAGATAGATAGATAGATAGATAGATAGATAGATAGATAAATAGATAGATAATAGATAGATAGATAGATAATTTACCTACCTACCAAGTATATGATAACTAATACTGTGGAAAGCCCTGGGGATGGAAAAAAAAAAGAACGGACCCAGCCATGGAGCTCCCACTTCGTGTTAAATGATGGCTTAGCACCGTTTGACGCCAGTCATGATCACCTGCTCACCTTCTCTTACCTTTTCCCCACAGGTCTACATCATCAACGTGACCTGGTCCGACTCCACCTCCCAGACCATCTACCGGAGGTACAGCAAGTTCTTTGACCTGCAGGTGAGTTTGGCTGTGTCCAGATAATGCCCAGTTCTACCCAGCGTGGCCAGAATCACTGTGGATGGGTCTCTCTTGTCTGCATGGGTCTGAAGGGCACCCGGTCTGAGCTTTCAGAGCTGCACAGATGAGAGCCTAGGGGCCGATGAGGGGGACCCTGACGGTTGAGCCGGACTTGTCGCCATCTGGGATATTGCAAGCAGACACTCAGGCTCTGCTGGCATCCTCAGATGGTCTTAACAGTTGTGCTTTGTCACCTTCCTTTGCCTGAGGGCTAGGAAACCAGAGTGGAGAAGGTAGGAGGATGCCTGTGGGTGCTGCGTGCATGAGCCGACTTGTAACTATAAACACCAGGATGAGACCAGCCGCCACACCACTGCAGACAAAGAAAAGCAAACACACGGAGAAAACGGAAACAGAAAATAAGCAGTTTCTTGAACTGCAGACCAAACTGGGCATTCCTCTGTGCCTGTCTAACCGATTAAGACTGTGGCGTGTTACAGACGTATTACACATGATCACCCAGGAAGATGGTAGTGTGGGTCTCAAAGCTGCCACTGCAGACGCCTCTCTTGATACCATCTCCTTTAGTTAGGCTCATTTGGTTACAGATGACAGCTTTCTACTCAAATTGGATTAGGCAAAAAGGAGAATTGGTTGGAAAGATATATATACTGGGAACATCCCACTTCCATAGTTGACCAGATAGGAGAAAGGGTAGTGCGGAGTGGGCTTTAGAAACCCCTAAAACCAGAGCTGTTCTCTCTTATTCCTGCTTCCATCTAGGGCCTGTCCTCTGCCTCTTTGACCTCTTAGCCTTTTTCCTACACTCTCAAATTGTGTGCCTTGTGACTGTCAAGAGTGGAGGCTAACGCTCTCCCAGTTAGAAACTGGACAATCCTGAAGGAGACACTGACTGGCCTGACTTGAGTCAGATGTCCTCTCTGGACTATTTGGTGTGGCCAAAGGTAATGTGTCCAGCAGCACAGGCAGGGCCACTAGAGTACCCACCCCTGTGCATCAGAGGAAGGGAAATCACTGATGTTGGTAAACAACCCTTCTCATACCAAGAAGGGAAGCCAACTTTTTCTAGATACTTCCTTAAAGACCATGAGTCTAGTTTAGGCCAACAAAAATGCAAAGAGGCATCACTTCTGGCCCCTCCCAAGCAGGGTCCTCTTTTGCGCTGTGGTGGTCAGTCGCTTCGGAGAGACTAGGCCTTGTGTGTTTGTTTCCTGGTACCTTTTATACCATTGTCCTATTGATCTTCCTATCAGAAGAGCCAAAGGCAAGCCAACTTCCTGTATTAATAACCTTCTCTTCATCCAACCAAATGAGATTGAAAGCCACTTCTTATTCTCTTGCCTGCTTCCTCTTTCTCCCTTAATCCCTGTCCAGTCTCCTTGGTCCTTCAGGCATAAACTGGGAGGATTTGCTGATATCCCATCAATGGCTGTAGTGTACTGGGCAGGAAATGATAACACAGTTGGGGAGAGGGAACCCTGAAAGGACTCATTGATGAGCCAGAAGGAGTCCAAACTCAGCGGAAGCTCCCAATTCGGAATGTCTCTAACCCCCTTTCCGTTCTGGTCCCCCAACCCCTCCCTAGTTGTAGACTCTCATAGGAAAAGAATGTCGCCCCCTTGCCCGGAGGGTTCATTTCCTGTGTGTGAGGAGGAGACGTAAGTGTAAAGCGGCTTGTGGCAAGCCCTGGGCCCTGGCCTTGGAATAGCCATGGGCATGGCGAGGCTGGGCCATGGGGGCCATCACCACCTTGTAGATGTAGTTTGGAAAAGGCTTAGGGATGATTCTTTGGACTTTAATCTTTGAGCCAGTTGTAACAACTTTGGGAACCCATTTTATATCGCTCATGCCACATTGACTTGTTTAATTTCTTTTTTGCGTGTTGGCTTTTAGTGATGATTGTGTTGGAAAGGCTGCTTTATTTTTCAGAGTCACTCATTTCAATATGGTGGCTCCTGAAGCGTTTGGGGTGTGGTTGTGATGTACTTGGCTTCTAACTAGAAGGTTGGTAGCTTGAACCCACCAGCTACTCTGTGAGAGAAAGAGGAGGCCGTCTCCCTCCATAAAGATTTACAGCCTTGGAAACCCCACGGGGCAGCTCTCCTCCGTCCTGTAGATTCAGTGTTGGTGGGAACTGACTTGCGTTAAGGGTCTGGCTTTGCTCTAAGAGAGGAGCTAACAAATGCAGTCGCCAACTCCATCTCCGGCCATCAGTCATCCTCAGAACTCGGGTTTCTGAGTGAGAGAATGGCTTAGAGCTTAGGTGCGGAGGGCCTCTTCTCTGTCACCACGTGCTCTTGATGAGGCTACTTGAATTGAGGAGGCTCAGTTTTCATGTCTGTAGAATGGAGATTTGCATAGTACCCACCAATAGGGTTGTTCTGAGGTCTAAATGACCTCACACACATTTCTCCTGATCAGTTCATTATATATTGAGTTACCCATAGCTTATGTGAAGACTCAGATTCAAAGCTCTAGGTTATCATCCTCAAAGCTAGGACCTGAAGGCTCTGTATGTGGAGCTCAGAGAATCCTAGGAGTGGAAAAGCGAAGGCACACTCCCAGGCAGCCAGTCCTGAGGGGCTACAGACAGGAGAGAGGGTTTGTGCTTGGAAGAGAGAGATATCCCTTTGAGGTGACTTACGGCATTGATGATGTTCAACAGGATCCTTGGAATTGCCATGAAATCGTGGGGAGATATTCACACCGGATGGGAGAGAAAAACAGATAAGCTGTTAACTGCTCATTCCATGCTTATCTGAAGCCTTAAGAACTGTACAGAGCAGGCTCCTTTATCTCTATCCTCGCCCACCTCACCACCCACACACTTCACTTACTGGCTGTCTACTGCTTTGAAGACCCTGGATTAGAAATGCCAGATAAAGCATGAGATACCTAGTTAAATGTGCATTTCAGATCAAACAATGAATTTTTTTTTGTGTGTACATCTAGCTCAAATATGACATGGAACATACATTATTTTAAAATTAACTTGTTTCTCTGAAATTCAGATTTAATGGGTCATCCATATTTTTTGTTTGCTAGGTCTGGCAACCCAGGCCTGGGTGTGAATATGCAAACATGAGGCGGAAGAGAAAGGGTGGAGAATCCAGGGCGGTGTGCTGTGAGTGGGCTGTCCCGTGATAAGGCCCCAAACACGTCTGCTCTTTGCAGGGAAAAACTGCCCCAGCTGGAGAACACAAAGTTGAGAAGGGTGGATTCCAGCCTTCCAAGAGTCTGTGTCTAGTGAGGAAGCAGATTTTAGGCAATTAAGTCCACTGTAAATGAAATGAAGCCCACTATAAATGAAAAGAACTATTAGATTGTGGCACAAGAAACATGCTATGGCACAAAAAGGGTTGAAAGAGTGTTCTTAGAAGGTGGGGACATTGAAGATGCTCATATTGTGACAACAGTCTTAAATGATCGTCTACCCTACCCCAGATGCCTCAGTTTGTAGGATTTTGTTGTTGTTGTTGGGAGGCAGTAATGGTTACTAAAGTTTGTCCTTAGTTTGTTTATTTTATCATTCATTCATCCCTTCATATCTGTCGTCTCTCCATCCATCCATCCATCCATCCATCCATCCATCCATCCATCCATTCATCCATCATCAATATTCAGTTCCTTGGTCGCTCTTGCCACCTTATGTATGGGGTTCAGTAACGCCAGTGTCTCACGGCTACACAGGGGTATTGCCAATATAGAACATCTATCACCATGGAAACTTCTGCTGGTCAGCGCTGGTATAGTCCATCTGGGAAGTAGAAGCCTCATCTATCGTTTTGCTGACTGTGAGCATTTTGCCACCCTTCTAGTCTCCCTTTTCAGTCACTCGTTAGTCATCTAAGGTCCAGCAGGAACAGGGAGACCATGTCCCAGGATGATTTACTCCCATCAGCAGAGCAGAACATTTCCATTTGACAACTCTGAAACCCCTTTAGTTTTCAGTGAGGGCTTCTAAGAGTATTGCAGGTGCCAAGTTTGGAAGAGGTAAGGCTCTTCATCTCCAAGTAGAAATTGGTTCCTTCTGCAAATACTGCCCCCCTTTCCCCTCCCCCCATACAGCCCTATCTTGTCAGGAATGGGAGCTAGGGTCACCTGTTGAGGACTATTTAATTGTAAAGGGGTTGTGTTGCCTGGAGGTTAGAGGGAGGAGGAGGAAGGTGAGGGACAGCAGAAGATTTTAAATTATGTTTTCAAAGTCTGTACATTTCCTTGCCCACCTTCTTCACTGCTAAGTGTCTCCACCACGGCCTGGCCGTAGAAGGGCCGGAAGGCTCTGAAAGGGCGCTCCATTGAGGGTTATTTCACAATCTGACCTACAAGGCACTGGGCCGGACTAATTGCTCTGCAAACAGTGGCTCCAAGGTGCTGCTGCCCTTTAGTCTGAACTCCAGCCAATTACTGCACAGGGTCAATATTTGATCACAGCCACCAAAGGCCCTTTCTGTTCTCCTGTGTTGCTTGGAAGATGGACTTAAGAGAGTTGTTCAAGTCCGCTCATTTGCTCTAAAGGACTCAACCTATTCTGAAGAGCTTTTATCTCTTCCTTATTCATCTCTCTAGAACTCCCTACGTAGCGTCACTCAGAGTCACCACCACTTTCCAGCTTGCAAGTAAGCAGGCTGATGATGGCTGAACAAAAACAGTAATCTCTCTGAGTCACTAAAAACTGAGTTTGGAGTTTGTGTGTGTGTGTATGTGTGTGTATTTGTGGTGATTTCAAGGGATTTGTAGGGTATAAAGGAATAGAATTGAGAAGTTTCAAGAAATGGTTGCAATCCTAGGAAAAGAATTCTCAAAACAGATATATGACCAACCAGCTGAAAAAAGATCCATATTTGTGCCCATTCCAAAGAGAGGTGGTCCAACGGAATGTGGAAATGGTCAATGTCATTACTATCACAAGTAAAGCTTATCTGAAGAGAATTCTGAAAAGTGGTTGCAGTAGGATGTTGAGAGGGAACTGCCACAAA